AGCCTCTCCAACCTTGATGTAATAGACTTGTAGTAAAATCAGCACCTGACATTTCAGACACTGGTGTTTGTTTCCAGTCTCGCAGAGCTGCACGGTCTTTGATCAAAGAGTGCCGCCATTCTCGACTTCACTAAGAACTTTTTTCTATTTTATTTTCCCTGAAAATCTCTACATTGAGGGGCATTTTGTTGTTTTTGAAGCAGGTTTCCTAGTGATGTGTACTGTGATGTGCATTTGGGAATTATTTGGCGTCCAGTTAATACAAATTTCTCTAAAGAGAATTGGAATTCACAATATGGAAACTCGTGACTCGTCCCCCTCTGTGCTTGAAGTGGCTCTGTGGTATGTGAAGCGTCTCGGTTCAGTGCAAACTGAAGGCTACGCAAATGTTTACAGGTTACACCGGTGAGGCTGCTGGCTCTGCGCCTTTGCAGCGCTTTGATGCTCTTGCCTTTGGAAGCCTCTTGACTGTTTGACTGACAGCTTTACCTCATTCTGTATCTGGATTTAGTGTTATTGGAGAGCGAGCTCTCAGCAGCTCAGATTTTGAGTGTATGTGGGCAATTTTCAGCAAACGTGATAACAAAATAAAAACTATTGATTTTGTTTGTATCAAAGCTCATACGTCTTTGTGGAAATTGTCTTCTTCTCTGGAAGTAGACACATTTATTTATTTACTGTCTTTTTTGTTGCTTGGTGTATTTTCTGATTTAATTGATTAACTGCTTTTGTGCTTATTTCTGCCTTTTTTGGAGGGAGGGAAAGAGGGAGGGAGGGGGGTAAATACATTTCCATCTGTTGAAGTTTGAGTATTCATCTGTGTCCTTGTGTGTACTCTGTACATGTGTAAGCTGTCTGTGTAACGAGGAAACCAGGATTTACTGTTTAATTGTTTTGTTGAGGTCACTGCAAAATATATCAAAGCAACCTCCAAACCTTCACAGTGTACCAGATATCGTATCTGTCTGCACCCCGGCTCATAATTCACTGCAACGTGAAATATCCTGAGCTCCATCGTCTTCAGGTTAATTAGCCCGGAGCATGTGAAACCAGCTGTGGCTTTCAGCCTGATGAAACAGCTGTGTGTGTGTGTGTGTGTGTGTTTGTCACTGTTAACTGTGTCTGTGCGTGTGTGTGTTTGCCTCTTTTGAACCCTGTGCATGTTTGCCTCAGCTGAACTCATATCCTCTTCACCCTCTCTGTTTGTCTTCTTCTGTATCTCCTACTTCCTCTCTGTCTGAGCAGCTTCCTGCCGATCTCAATAAGATGCACCTAACAGACCATGCCCACCAGCAGGTGATGCACATGCCGCCCAGCCAGTCGGGATGCAGCATCGCCAGTGACTCGGGTAGCAGCAGCCTTTCAGATATTTACCAGGTGGGTACCTCCCTGTTTATGGCAAAAGTTTATTGTATTTATTTGCAAATAAACCCACACTTAAATATGGATTTATGGATACAAATTTCCACAAAGCTGATTATTTTTCCCTTTCATTTTGCCAAATTCCTCTTCTCTTTCCTTTTAATTGTTCAAATTCATTATAAAAAGTCAGTATTATGTAAAATAGGATCCAGCCAGTCAGTTAAAACTACTCTTGCCTCACAAATTACTTGAAGTATCCTCGTGCTTTTACTGCAAACAAAAGCTTTTAATTGAACGAACTCTTTCCAATCCTGTGACAAAACCCTGTCTACTGTTTCTGGTCGTGTGTTTTGCTGAAAGGTGAATTCTCTCCATCTTCACGTGTTCTCAGTTTATCAATCAACCCTCCGCCCACCTTCCTTCTAATCCTTTTTGTCTCTCTAATTATTGTGGGTCCTGGTGACTCGTCCCCCCCTGTACTTCCTGCAGCAGATTAAAGGTCACATGTAGAAAATGAACCTAACACTTATAGCTCCA